TGATTCATTCTGATCTTGGTCGATTTCCTCTTTTGACTTTACACACACACACACACACACACACACACACTTTAAAAAAAAAAATTAATTGAACAGTGCCTTCTTTCTATGCATAAAACTGATCCAAATCAAATCTATGCTGTTCTTCTCACCGTTCGATTTCCTAGGTTCCTTTGGGAGGAAGGGTAGAATATATACCGGTATATCTGTGTGTGTGCTGCATGCTGCATTCAGATGTGGAATTTATCGTGCTAGTTTTACAGGTAATAATAATATTTTTTTATTTATACCCTACTCATCTGGCTGGGTTTCCCCAGCCATTCTGGGCGGCTTATAGCATGTATAAAAAATTGTAATACATCAGACATAAAAAATTTCACAGTACAGGGCTGCCTTCAGATGTTTTCTAAAAGTCAGATACTTGTTTATTTCCTTGACATCTGGTGGTAGGGCATACCACATGGCGGGCACCACTACCAAGAAGGCCCTCTGCCTCCTGGTAATCTCACTTCTTGCAGTGAGGGAACTGCCAGAAGACCTTCGGAGCTGAACTTCAGTGTCTGGGCTGAACAATGCTTAAAATGTTCATGCTACTGTTCTGATTTCTAATGTTTCTTTTACATTACAGTATCTATTTTGATATGGAACTGTGGCCACCATGCTGCGCTAAGTCTTAAATGGCAGGAAAGAATGGTATGCTGGGATACTGCCCCAGATTTCGTGACATGACAATGCAAAACTCCTATGATTTTTTAACAGGCTTGCAAACAGACTTTTTCTAGCACAGAAATTAGGACTAAACTTCCACTAGATTCCACCAGGTTTCCAGAAGTGGCTTATATATTGTGTGCAAGACCACATAAAACACAGATATGATCAGGTGAAGACACATCAGGAAACCAGAATAAAGTGATGTCTGTTTGCAGCCTAAGTTGTGGAGAAGACACATTGAGCACACTAAGAGATACTCAGACCTGGTAGCAGTTGGCAAATATCAGCTGCTTCTCACGCTATGAATATATCACAGGTAATGGGGTGAGGGGCTGCCACTGACATTGGTGTAAATGAAGAGTATTTTCAATCAAGCCGCTGTAATCAGGCCAGCTTAAAGCCCATTTAAGTGAGAGACAAATCAGGTACAGTGAGTAGGTTCATACTGCAATCAATAATTCCTTGATTTCCTTGATTCACCCAAGAAGGTTAGCTGTAAAATCAATTTACAATCAAATTGGGGTGTCTTGCATTTGCAGGAGAAACAACTCTAAGTTGCCAATCAAAATCAGTTATTTCTGATCTCCTTGACAGCTTCTCGGCTTTCAAGCTATTCGGGCAGCTTAGGTTTCATTGGCAAATTAAAACAAGCAAATGTCCACTGAGACTTTGGGAGGTTTTGTTGTTTATTTTTTGCCAAATCCGACAGACTTTGATGTCCATGTCAGAAGGAGAAAGATGCTAAACAGAGTAAATAACATTTTGACTTGGGCTGACCAGGGCTGAACTGCTGGTGCTAAGGTAGGACATTGACAAGGCACTAGACATATGTTCTACATTATTTGAAATATGTAAAATGAGAAAACAGTATGTGTCCAGGTTTCATTTTGCACCTCTTATGATTATTTTGATCTTGCCTATCAAAAGGATATCACCTGAGCTCATTCAAAATAAGTACTTAGAGAGGAGCAAGGAAATAAATCCAGCATAATTAGGTATGCTCACTGATCACACCAAGATCACCCGCCATTTCAGCTTCCCTTATGTTAGTCTTGCATTTTTATTGGGTGTGTGTGGAATATTAAAATGGGCAGATATGGCTGGGACACTGCCAGGCAATTGAAACCAGAGGTCTATATTTATTTTGGTTTCATCACTTTTGGGGTTGAACTGGGTGGTATGAAAGATTGTGGCAAATGAATGAATGAATATGTTGTGTCTCTTCTTCTCTCCTACATAATGTCCAGCAATACAAAATTTGTGATGGTTCATGCTGTAATCACATGACATCAAATGACACATGGTATCTTTAGATGTAAGACTGAAATGGGAAGCAGTGATTTCAGAAGCAACATTACCTTAGCCATGATACCTAATTCTAGCCTCAACATTGGGGATAGTATTACTGTTTAGCATTTGTTGACACTTTCATATTTAGAAAATGTTTTGAAGTCACAAACAAAATAGTCCCACTTTATTTTAAGCTAGTCAGATGTTACCTGGAGTAGTGTGTCCAGTTTGTGGTTCCAAACTTTTAAGGATGTGAGCGAACTCGAATGGGCTATAGAGAAGAGCAATGAAGGTGGTTGAGTGTATGGAAAACCAGGGCTGGTCCAATACATTTCACTGCTTGAGTTTAAGGACAAGATGGAACACACACACACACACACACCCATATACAGAAGCTGACTGGTGGGTGAATTTTATGTCAATATTGGTGGTGGGGCAATGGACTCCAGTGTACCTGAGAACAACAAGCTAGCTTAAGATGGTGTAAGAAAGAAAATAAAGTCATACCTCTAGTTGCGTTAGGTTCATGTTGCGGATTTTTGGGTTGCGAACGCGGCAAACCCGGAAGTGTATACTTCCGGGTTTTGCCGCTTCTGCCTTCACAGAAGTGTTCTCCACACTTCACGCATGCGCAGGAGCGCTCTATTGCATCATGCTCATGCACAGAAGCAGCGATCTACTAACGGTCTTTTCGGGGTGTGAATGGCACCCCGAAATGGATCACGTCCGTAAGTAGAGGTACCACTGGATACCACAAACAGCCCTGTCCCCCAACATCTGACTGCTTCTCCTAAGCATCTTACACATTACACAAAAACTTCACTCTGCCCAATGGGAGGTCCATCTTGCAGAAAACAAGTCCTTTGATGAAAGGTTGTAGGAACTGAGTATTTTAACCTGAAGAAGAGAAGACTGAAAGGCAACACAATAGCAGCCTTATGTTCAAGTGTCTGAAGGGCACTGCAAACAAGAGGGTGGAACATTCATTTTCAGCTGCCCCAAAGGGCAGGCCTAGGTCTAAAAGGCATGTGTCACAGGAAGGTAGCTTTTGATTGACATTAGAAGAAATTTCCAAATGGTGGAATCAATTTAACAGTGGAACAAAGTCGCTGGGCTGGTTGGCTCACCATCACTGGAGGTCTTTAAGCAGAGGCTGGACAGTCATTGGTTGGACATATTCTATTATTTCAGGAAGTACAAAATAGGAAGGGTCACATTCAAATGCAAACTGAACCAAATTTCTCCCTCTTTTCTATTTAGCAGAAATGTCTTGAGCATCCACAAGTGGTTCTACAAACATATCAAACCCACAAAACCATGCCTATAAACTAAAATAACATCTTGGGCCACATGATTATTTGGTCTTTCATAAAGAGCTACAAAATGTTGCAGAATCAGTCAAGTGTACCACAAGTTGAAAATGCTCCAAGAATTGTGCTTTCATCTGTAGGGGCTGGATAAGCCAACATCTTTTTCATCAATTTGGCTTCTCATCACAGAGGTCAATGAATCTGACATATCATTAGCCATGTTTTGAAGAATATGTAGATATTTCCCCAAGGGGTAATTTATCAATATTATGGCACTTTCGTCCATAACGAAACTTCATTAAGCATTCATCTTTGTTCATGAGGGGCAGCCATCAAACAGTTTAAAAAAGGTCCAGCTGGTGGGATAAGGAGTTTTCTGCAATGGCATTAAGCATCTGAGAATACCGCAATTTGCTCTTGCTGTAGCACATGGACTACAACTGACTACAAAACACGTTTTCTCAAGCATTCAACAAGAGGAAATAAACTTCACCCCCCACAACCCTTTTCAGAACCCTTTTCTGAACACAGCTTTATAAAGTATTATGAAAATCTGTGCATTCAGGACAAAGTAAGCATCATATGTAGCAGTCCTGATTTCTTAATTAGCAAATAAATTAACATGGTTAAAGGATTTGTAGGTTTGGCCATGGTTAAGGACTGTGTCTCTACAGACCCAAATCATACTTACTTTATAAAGCTTTGCATTTTTAACCAGGATTTCAAACCAGAATCAAACGAATACTCAGCACATTTGCCTCACAATTAAATGGTTTAATTGTGAGTGTTTCCAGTTTTCTGAATCATTCTCTCACACAAGCAGTTTAAAAGATTACTACCCTGATGCATGGCTGTCTTTTAATGAGTAAGCTGTGAAAAAGGAACGGGTGTATAATAAACACACAGACATTTCAGCAAGTATCAAACCATAAACATATATTAACATTGCCAAATAACTTGCCTGTCTCCCAAAATTGTCATTTGAATACAAGTGCCAAAACACCTGGTTGATGCAAAGTGTTTGGCTTAATCCCCATAGTTTTACTACCATGTCCATAATAACATTTGGCATTACAATTGCATGCAAAGAAACATTTCCCTAAGCAGGAGATATAGAGTTATGGCAATAGCTTAAAGAGCAACGCAGATCACTTATATGAGTTAAAGCAATATAACCCCATGAGTTAACTATTACAGTTCCATCAATGCCGTGTGTTGGGACAGATAAAGAGAGCTACCATAATTAATTGCTGTCTTTTACTCTTCATTTGGCACTCAGTTTCACTTTGCATTCTTAAACAGGAAATGATTCCCTTTATTACTCCATCTTACTTCCTTTATATGTCCCCACTTTGAAATTACTTAGGCCATTGAGGGCATGGTGGACTACTTACTGTGAGCTAGAATTGCAGATTGTTCTTTATTGACTGGTTTGGGAAGGGTTCCACTACAATGTTTGATGCGGCATGAAACATGAAAGCAGGCCCACAAAACTGCTCATATACATTTAGGGCATATTCTTAAACATGAATAATTTGGGTAAATTATAACCAAAATGTACATATGAGCAGTGCTTTTTTTCTGGGGGGACGCAGAGGTACACATACCCCTAAACATTTTGTGAATCTAAGTCTGGCCTCATTGTGGGGCAGTATTTCAATATGAGTAGGAAAATGAGAGTACTCCTAAACACACACACACACACACACACACACACACACACACACACATATATAGTGCTGCTTATGAGTGTGCATGCATGTGTGGTTGTACATATACACTATCCTACAGTTGCTCTCTCTAAACAGCTCCAGGTGTGTGGCCAAGAAGAGGTCACAGGGGTGTGGCCAAGTTGTTTTGCTTTACCCCGATTCTCCTCCTTTGCAAAAATACTGTGGACATTTAGGCATTGCAGTTTTACAAAAAGTTAGCACCCAAAGAAATTGAAAAATGTATTACATTGATTCAGAAAGGGGTTCCTGCTTTCATAGTCGTTCTGTTTTGAAAGAGAAGTTGTCTGCCACCTAACCTGCTCTGGTTCTCTCCCCATCCTCCTCCTTTGCAAAACAAAACAAAACAAAACAAAACAAAACAAAACAAAACAGTGGGCACTTAAACAATCGGTTTAATCACTGCTTAGAACCGAGCTTGGCTCAGATGGGAGCCAAGAACGTGGAATAAGTAGAGGGATATTACGTAGATTAGGACCTGAGAGATTATGTTTAAAATCAGCAATGAAGCTCACTGTGTAGCACTGTGATATTAGCCACTATTAGGCCAGCAGTAGATAAAGAGTATAGGGGTTTGAAGTCCACCACAAAATTGTGTGTCCTAGAGAGGTGACTCCTTGAGGACTCTAGGAACTTGTATGGCAGTGTGTTAGCTTGAAACGTTATTGATTTGCAGGAGCTTCAACATCCTTCTGACTGGAAGTGCCCATTGTCCCCATTGTTCTAAAAGCATTCCACCCCCCCCCCCGAATGTATCTTCAGTGTTTATGTAGATGCAAGTCCTGCAGTAATCCATGGTTGTTTCAACTTGCCTCTGCAGATACTCAGTTCCTTCCAAATGGGCCCCATACAGCTCAGGCCTCAGCCAAATCAGGCGCAGAGCCCTGCTGCCTTCATGCCAATTCCTCAAACTTGGCTCTCAAATTTACGGTGGGTAATACCCATCACATTGTACAACAGTTCTGAATTTGGCATTGGCCTTTAAAAAAAAAAGCGAGCTCATTTACATAACTTTAATCTACAGTATAAAAACCATTGGAAACATTCCATCATTTCTTTCGTTCTTTGCTTTTGGTTTTGAAGAATATGCATCTTTCTACAACATTTAATGGGAGAGAAAAGCACTGTCCATATGTGGCCACAAGAAGAACATCTGGAAACACCAGTGAAGCAGGGAAATGCATTTGCTTTCTCCTGGCACAGAAAACCTTCTCCTGGAAGGTTTATAGAGGAGGGAACCAGAGTCTGTAAGAAATTAAGTCAGACAGCTGGCACTGACCAAGGGACTGATCTCAGTGGTAACCAAAAAGCAATTTGCAATGGCCTCTTCCTCATTAAATACAGTTGTAAATTGATAAATTGCATTTCTTATCATAAGACACTATAAAAGGCACATGAAGGTTTTGAAGAAGAGATGCAATAGATCTACCTTGATCATTTTGGTCAGGTAGGTCATTCATCTAGTGCATAGCAGCAAAGAAACTGCTTTGCAACCTATGGATGCCTACCCAGAAATAAGCTCAGTGGGTTCCTAAATAAGTATGTATTGAATTGCAAGCCAAGCTGTGCACCAAACCTTTGTATTGTGTGTTGAGGTCCCCAAGCCACCCCCCTAAATAAATCACAATTGACACAGAAATTTTTGTTTAAGGTTTTTGGTATGATTTTGGCCACAAATTTATTAAAATGCATAATGTGAGTGGTTGCTTAGGCATTGTTTACGACTATCTGTCCCCACCCCGGGACAGAACTGACTTCCGGATTCCAGCAAAAGCCAGTAAGGGAAAACAATATTGGGGAGAGAATGGAGCTGGGCACCATACCGTCACCCCTCCCCGCATGCTCCCAGGGGCTTGCACAGCCCTAGCCCCTTGCCAGGGATATGGACAAAAGTATGGCAAACCCCTGGATTCCTTTAACAGAATTCCCCTGCAGCAGCAGCATTGGAGGGGCAGGTACAGCCAACCCTTACCCCTCCAGAAACCAAATTTTAACCAATGCCTAACCGCAACTTTACAAGTCGTGATGATTTGCTACGCAGTAGGCAAAAACCAAATGGCACCAGCCAATCTGCCAAATGGACAAAATTCCTACCAGGCCCCTGCCCCAAAAGCAGGTGACCCCATGACAGGCATAGCAATGTCAAATGCAACAGCCCTAAATTAGGGAGGGTGGGCAGGTGATCCGATGCACGCAGCAAAAGAGACTGAAAAAAACTGCATGCCAAGAATATATAACCTTCAGGCCATCCCTCTAAATGGTAACATCAAAATCTCCTCAACAACCCAAATTGGCCCAATCACCATCATGGCCATCCAAACGGTCCCACCCAGTAACTAAGAGGGGGTGCCCTGTTAGACCCCACCGCAACACGTGCTCTCCATGAAAACACGCTTTATCCAAAGATAGCTTTACTAACAGAGCAATCCAACATGCACATGCATACACACACGCCCCCCCCCTTTGCATCAGACTTGTGAAAGGCTTGGATTGGGAAGAGGTATCCTCAGTCTCTTGCATTTGGCCCAGCCCTAAACAATGTTGGGAGACTGATGTAATGCATTTACAACTGTATGACTGTTTATAGGTCTAACTGTCAATGCTGTAAACTGTCAATGCTCAAGTTATCCCAAAATATGGGATCATGACCCACAGTGAGATCATTAAAGGATGAAGTAGGGTGCCATAAATACTTTATTTCTGTTGGCCCTGTTACTTGATGTTTGAGATATAAGTGATGAGGTGTAATAAATTGTTTAGTATCCATGTGAATCAAAAGTCAGCTTTCGTTCAGTTGTAAACTGTCCCCCCACCCCGCTGCATCTTAACCCTATTTACATTCCTGTGGGTGACCTTCTTTACCTTCTACCTAAGTCTGATTATGATGACCCGTCTAAATACAGGTATGTACAGGTTTGACATTTTCTGACCCCAAGGGACTAACAATCTGAAAAGAGACAGAAGGAAACAGCAGATGAAGGTGAGGGAAATGAAGTGAAAACAAGGGACGAATATGTGATTGAACTGCTGAACCATGGAATAGTTGAATCATTTAGCACAATACAGTTTTCTTCAAATGTCAGCAACTATCCAGTGCCTCAGGCCAAGGTCTTTTTCAACTCTGCTACGCGAGAGGCTTTCTTTTGATGGGAAAGGCAGGAACTGAACCCCTCACTTTCTACATGCAAAATACATTTGATGTCTTTAGGGCACTAGGGCCCTGAGTAGCCATTCCAAATGGATCAGTTCAAAATAGTCAAGCCTGGGATATAACTCCTAACTAGGACCACACCAGGATTCCTTTCTCTCTCTCTTTCCTTTTTAACATATTTTCTGCCTGATGCCCGAATGAAAGCCAGAAAGTCTAAGTGCTTGCTGAAGATGAATCAGGCTCCACTGAGCACCAAGAGGAGGGGGGGGGGAATATGATGCTTAATTTGTTGTAAACATAATTACTTTCATTCAAACACAAGAGAAAACAAGAAGAATTGATGTTTGCCAAACGCCACCATCCACAGAGCTGTAAGTAAATGATTAGAAGCAGAAATAAAATCTCCCAGACTATTCAATTTCTAAGTGAGATAGCATCAGCCATCTATGTGGACTGGAGACAAAGGCGGTGGAAGAAAGTAACTGATGCCAGAGCCTGAATAAAATGTTGCATAAATAACAAGAGGAGAAAATAAGATGGTCAACATGATAACGCAGGTAAGATAGGTAAAGCATAGAAGCGTTGGTTCACTGAAAGACAGAAAGAGGGACTCTGCTTTTTCAAAGCTTTGCCAAAGGGTGAGGGATATCAGACCAATTCCTTCGTTCTTCAAGGACCACATTTCATCAGAAGAATAGGCTAAATCACATGGACACAGAGCAACCCTAGGCTTGTTTATTCTGAAGTCGATCCCACTGAGTTCAATGGGGCTTACCCAACTGCAGCCAAACTGAATTGTGCAGCTTTGTTACATTACATTATATTCATTACGTTTTAAATACTGAATTTCTATCAGTTTAATTTTCAGTCTGCTCATATACTGGGAAGTTGCTTGAGGCCCTGAACGATTTCTTCTGTCTCAATAACTCGTAATCCTATGAAATAGAGAAGCACGGCTATCGTGTACCCTTTCCAATGTACCCCTCTGTGGAAACAGTCCTGAACTTGCTGAACCATCTCAAGCATTTGCACAGAGTATTATGGTAATCTAACCTTATGGAGGGATGCATGATCAGATGGTAAGAGTAATAGCCTTATCACTTGGTGAAACTTCACAAAAGCTGAACTAGCAACTATAAGGAATGAAGGTACAAAGATGTTATGAACTCTGCACATCTCCAAGCACTTGGCTTAACATCCTTTGGTGGATCATTGCAAAAACTTAACCACATGTTTGCAATATTTACAAAGATACAAACAGGACATGAGTGTTTTATTCAAACAGAGCAAAGAGGCAGTTTTACAAAAACAGCAGCTTTGCTACCCACACTGGATTATCAGAGAGGCCCTATGTACCCAAGATGCCTTCAGAAACTCTCCCAGTTTCTGCTGCCTTTTCTCTTCCCCTGTCTCATCCAACACCCAGCAAACTGCTGCTTCTTCACACACAACTCTTTCCCTCCTTTAAGCTGCAATGCCTTACTCTTCAGTTAGGGAAATGCTGCAACACCTTCTCAATTTCTAATGGATATAATATTCAGTACAACAGATTCCCCACCTACCAGGATCATCTTGTGCTGGCTCTTTAAATCCATCAAGTGGCCTCTGACAAAGCTCTCTCCTTTTGTCCTCCATCTCTAAACTTTGCTCCACCACATTCCATATTTCAGGATGTGCCATCTTCACATAATTCCAGATATATGAGAACTATTATGCACTTACACTAAAACACCACAAGTTGAAGAGCAGGCTTGCTGGGCTGTAAATACATAGTGATAACTGCCATGTTCATTTTGGATATTGGCAATAGCATATCGCTAAGGCACCCTCTTCACTATACATTTAAATCATTATCACACCACTTTAATCAGTCCGAGCTGCCCCTAAATAATCCTGGGGGTGTAGTTTGTTAAGGGTGCTGAGAGTTGTTAGGAGAACCGTCTTCCCCTCACAGAGCTACAATTCTCAGAGTGGTTTAACAGTCAATCCATCTTCCCAGGGAACCATGGAAATTGTAGCTCTGTGAGGGGAAAAGGGTCTGATAACAACACTCAGCAATCAACTGTTTTATGTTTACAAATAATTATCTGTATTTTAAATAGGAGCTGAATTGCTTTTAAATTATTATTTTTACCACCTTTGTTTTTAGCTGTTCTATTTTATCTGTGAGCTGCCTTGAACCCCTGTCTCGGGAAAAGGTGGGATATAAATAAATAAATATTCTAAAAATTACAGTTCCCATGGTTCTTCAGGGGAAGCAAAAGTGGTATGATAGCACTTTAAATGTATAATGCAGATAGGGATGAAGTAGGACACCCATGTTTTAGTTTGTTGTTTTGTCAGCACCAATATAACCATATTCTTCTTCTCATATCTTGAGTTACAAATGCCTTTTGTTTTATGTGCCTCTCTATCATCAGGCAGATGTGGCTCTGTTTTAGGAAATACTTTCAGATAACTCAGCCCAAACTTTACATTAAAGGTCACCTTATCAGCATATCCGTGCTTTGGCTTATTTAGTTATAGTCAAAACCTGTTCTGACACATGAAAGATGTTCTCATTATGCAAAAAATATCTGGCCTGGCATAATAATTTGAAAGACATCCAACAACTTTCCTTCAAGAATAAACTCTAAAGGGCCCTTCCTCCCCCTCCCTAACTTACTGATTGCTTTTGTATACCCTGAGGTTTGATAAAAACACCCATCACATTTTTTAAACATTTCTTGTACAATTGTTTCAGCTTTTATATTATGTATCCTGTAAACCTAATTTGATGTACAGCTAAGCCTGTAAAAATGCAATAAAAATGTTTACAATACATTATGTATTACAATCAGTATATTTTGAAAAGTGGTATCTCTAAAGGTTATAATTATCTGGCTGGGAATACAATTTTTTCCCAATTCATAAAGATTAGGTGCATTAGGAATCAAAGCTGTTCTACAACCACATAGGAAAACAAGGAACCATTAACTTAACACCATGGATCTGTTGAAGGGAATGAAGGTATGAGATACTACTTGCATGTAAGGAACCAGGTGACCAAACCTCACCAAGAGTAAGAAGCAGTGTTTCACCTATCCCTTCCCTTAAGCCCACGTTGCAGCTGAATAGAGGCTTTCCTGCTTCTCCCCCTTCTCGGGCCCCACGACTCTGAGCAGGTGTCACAGGTTGGCTTCAAAGATACTCCTTTCCATTCCAAGGGATATCATGTCTGGGGACAGCACCCTCCACCATTAAAGGTGTCTAAGGCTCAATACTGAACCTTAACTACCTGATAACATCCTGCACCTACCTGCCAATGTGGTCAATTCATCTGTATAAAAGCAACCACTCGCTAAGAACACCCTCCACAAAACCAGTAGAGAGAAAGTGGGGGGGAGGGGAGGCAGAAGCTAGCAAGGCCATTAGGTGTTAGGCAAAAAAGATTCCAATCCATCCCTAAAATGCAACCAGCCCATGCCGAAACTGAATTAAGGGCAGGTTTGAGGAACCCCAGTGGTATCTTGGGTTAAGAACTTAATTCGTTTTGCAGGTTCGTTCTTAACCTGAAACTGTTTTTAACCTGAGGTACTACTTTAGCTAATGGGGCCTCCTGCTGTTCTCATCCTGAAGTAAAGTTCTTAACCCGAGGTAATATTTCTGGGTTAGTGGAGTATGTAACCTGAAGCATCTGTAACCTGAAGCGTCTGTAACCCAAGGTACCACTGTACAAGGATTTTAGGGAGGGGAAATTCTAAGGGAGTTAAAAAACAACAACAGATACAGACCAACAGACTAAGCCATAGGATGCTAGCTGACACTTTGGGTCAGTTCAGAGGACTCTGGATGGCCATTATGATGTGGAGGTGCCTCTGCATTGGAGGTAGACAAAGAAGGCAACATTTGCACCAAACTTTTCCAACTAGAGCAGGAGGACACTTAAAATTACTATTCCCATGTTACAATACAATACTAAAGTTGAAAGAGAGATGCAAAGAGGAAGATGAGAGAGAGTTGAACGAATGAATGGATTACAGAACCTCCACCAAACACTTAATAAAAGCACACTGGTTAACCACATTTCTGTTCTCACAATATCAACAATCAACGACATATTAAAAACACCGCTTAGAGTTGACTGTAGCTGCTAAAATAAAACAGGAACATCTTTGTATGTGTTATGTCAGGCTAACTGCCTCACTATAAGAATAGGTTGATATACTCTGCAAAAGCATTGTGTTAAAACATTAGCCACCCTATTATTTTACTTTAATTGGTTTATCCATCTTGCACTGATATGCCCTTTGACTATTAAAGCTTGGAAAGTTTTTATTTCAGCTGTCTGTTATCGCAACTGAGAGAACCTTGTACTAGCTGTTCCTTCGATGGTAAAATTGAGCTGGATGTGTGAATGGGAAAAAGTTGGAACTTTCCAGATAATTTATTAGCAATGAATAGAGGGATGATATTTAGTTACTCTATAACTCCTTGAGTTGTTTAAACAGTCTCCTTTTATTCTCCTACATCTTCGCCAGACATTTGATACTATCTTTCTAATCAGTGTTTTGGAGCTTTGTGGCCATTTAAGGCATAATCCCTGAGCAGTTCCCCCCCCCCCCCATTCCGCCGCTTTCCTCATTACTTGAGAGTCTTGTTTTCGTACATTAAAGAGCAGTTCCTTCCATTTCAATAATTCTTCTCTTTTATATGGGATTGGCCCTCCTATTTTTTTAAAAAAAATTTAATCTGGAGATCTAAACATCTTGTCAAACATCTTTCAGATTCTAATACTGTGACAAAAGCTAGGCCATCCACCAAGGCCCGCCACACTCAAAACGTCTTTTATGCTATGCTGATCAAAAGGCTTCTTGGGTTCCAAGCAGTTTATGTCTAATGTGTCAACCTGCCCTCTGCCATTGTCCCTGACTCTGAAGTTAATCAAGTTATGTACGCCTGACTTCCTTTTTGGAAATCCACATTGATTTCGCCTGCCCTGTATAAACTGTCCGTGGAATTCACTCTGCCTTCCTCAAACTCCATTAAACAATGCAGTGCAAACCTATTGTCATAAAAGACCAAACAAATTATGTTAATCCTTCAGAACTAAGCGACTTCCACCATAGGGGAGTTTTGCCAACATACAGTACAAAATACAGCTCTATTAAAGCCCGACAATATTCTGCAAGTGCCAGAAACTTGTTGGTCACCTTTTATTTCTGAACTTCTGAGATTTCTAATATCCACTCAAAATGGACCATATTGTTTACTGTTTCCAAGGAATTTGTAAATAGCTTCAGGGTGATTTACGCTCACTTAAAAATAGAAACTACAAGTGCACTGTAATTCCAAACCCAATTACATGGAAGGAAGTTCCACTGATTACAATAGAAATTATTGCTAAATTAATTTTTGCTTTGCATCACAGCCTCAAAAATATTAAAATATTCACATTAATATAGGCTATGATCTTGATCCTTGAACTGACTTTCTCTGATCCTTGAACTGACTTTTGTGAGCTGATTTGCTCCCTACATCGACTTGGGCTTTGGTGAAACTCTTCAGCATGCCTCATGAAGGGATTCCACATCTGAGGGAGAAAACCACTGGCCTGCTCTCAACACTGTGTGACTCTGCATCCAGCATATTTCATGGTGCAGCCACCCCTCCCCCACCCCATCATATAATACCCTGGTGAGGAACAGCTGGTCATCATATATCAGCCCTCACAGGGGCATTTTAGCCCAGTTTCAGCTTATATGTCAGCTGCTATACTTTGAAGAAGCTCCAAGCTGTTTTTTAAAAGGATCTATTAAAAAATATATTCTTAGAAATTCTTTAAAAAATAGCCTTTGGACCACTTCATGGGATTGCTGGAAGTTACTTTATTTGTTCTGAAAGCATTTTGAAGCTATCCAATCAGGGATCACGCCATTCAAGGATGACATCATAATGCTACATAGTCAAAACGAATTGGATACATGATGCTAACACTGAGGGCGTGAAAGCAACATAAATGAATAAATGAACAATTTTTTAAGAAACATGGGCTGAAAAACCACATGCAACCAGGCAGTTTTTCACATTGCTGAAAAGTTTGTAAAACTCTACCACGATGGATTAACTCTACCACGATCATATGCACTTGCAAAAGCACAGGGCATCACAAGCACTGACAATCATTCTAGTTTCAAACAGCTCAAGCAAAGGGAAATGGGCCACTTGATGCCATTGTGACCTCAGGAGATTTAACAGGTGCGTGACCATCTTGGGGCAGGTGTGATAACTTGTCTAGTTCCCTACTCTGACTTCTACATCAGGGATATTACAGGTGATTAAATGGCAGGTCCATTGGAGTTACCCTACCTTCACCTGAAAGCCCATGGAACTAGGAAGATGGATTGATGTAGGAGACAGCCCACAAGAGGGCACTGCATAAAACATGATGGTAGTGTTGCGTTTATTGTTAATACGGGCAGCAGTATATTCAGATAGGTGCAGAACCAATTAGCATTGCTTCCATGCTGATAAAGTTATACACGCAGGTCCTGCTTACAGAACACAATGTGTTCACAGGAAATCATTCATTATTATTATTATTCATTTCATCTTTATACTGCTTTAAATTTTCAAGAAAAGAACTCAAAGCAGTTTACAACCTACATTAAAACATCAAATAAAAACAATCCAGACTAAAACATTATTGAAGAAAGTCAAATATAAGTATACATTCAAGCAACATAATTGATAGAAAACAGATTATCTTAAAGATTTCAAAATAAAACATTACAAAGGAAGGCATTAAGTAAAGGGTTACATAACGAGCCAACAATTTCCATCCTTTTCTTTGGAGACATATCTAACCTATGATATCTCCTCACCCTCCCACCATGGTTTCTTCCTAAAATGGCTGCAGCCAACCAGCAAAGCACAAACAAGTAAGGTAGCGGGAAAATTCAGATTCTTCGGATATCTAAATCAGTCATTCAAGTAGTGAGGTTGGGGTATTTGTGTTCGGGTAAGAATTTTTGTGTGGCGAGTAGGCAAATAGCAGGAACTGTATATTTAAAAACATGGCTATGGTACTCATTTCTTCTGCCTACCATATGCAGCAATGAGAGAATTTCACAGTTCAATAGGTTGTTGTAGCATGAGAAAATGGGGGGTGGGGTGGGTCAAACTAACAGTAACCTGAAAACACCAATGGCAAGCTTTGCACTCATGGTATATTCCAGGGAAACCAAAATAATGGCAATGAAGAGAAGCAATCATGCTCGCTGCCCCCATGAGGGTGGTTTGCTGTTGCAGAAGCCAAACAGCTTGTTAAAGAAGACTTAAAGCTGTTGTGAAATTGTTTGTGTTTCTTTTGTTGCGTTATCTTCACCATTATTTTTTCTGCGTACTTGACTGATCATCTCTTCACGCAGTCACTAAACTGCTGAGAGAAGATCTCATAGTTGGCAATTTAAAATAAAGAGAACAAAATTTCTATTCATGAGCAAAACTGAGTTGTCTGTAAGTTGCCAAAGTGGAAACATAAAACAAACAAACAAAAAATAGATGAACAAACCAGAACACTGAACCATGACAAAGCTGCACTAAATTGGCAAGGACCATTTCTCAGGATTTCCAGCCCCCCTGAAATTAGCTGTTTATTTCAGCTATATTTTGGGGATGTGGCCATAAAAGAAGAAGTTTGAGTTTCTTTTAAAATAAATATATTAGAATGTCTTGTAACACCCCAAATATGCTTTAATTGAAAGCAGAACCAACGGTTTAAAATGCATCCCATTGGAGGGAGAAAAATATTAAGAGATTAATTATTCAATCCAATGCATGCTTACTCAGAGGTAATTCCCATTGAATACAATGGGACTTGCTCCAATTAGCACCAGAGATTGGAAAGAGATTCTGCTTGGACAGAATGCCATAGAACAGAAAAGGGTACACTTGGAGGACAGATACTTATTCAAAAACTAGCTTCATCAGCATTCTTGACAAAGCTGAGATATTATTTGTGGCCCAATGAAGGAAGAGAGATCATCCAAAAGCACACCAGCAAACATGTCCTTTGGGTGGGGCAACTCTAGAGGTACCACATAGTTTCAGCTTGAGAGTTGTCTGCTTCCAGCTCACATGTTACATTGTGAATGCAACTGTAGACACTGAAGGAACATTTTTCTGTAAAGTATGTTATTTTTCCAGTACTACTTTTCTAAACCTATTTCTATAAATTGCAAAGAAAGGGATTTCAATAATAATAATAATAATAATAATAATCCTTTATTGTCACTACACCACCTGTGTGCAGTGAAATTAAACGAGCCCCCTCCCCCCCACACATACACTCAGTCTTGTTT